CTAGTGGAGAAATAAAATGAGCATATGAGAACTCTGATGTTCAAAGAATTCTATCAACACATTAGGGGACAAAAGAGAGTAAGGACTGTCTTTATTCTACAGCACTTAATAAAACTACTTTTTTTTTTTTTTTTTTTTTTTTTTCAGCACTGAACAAAAGGAAGGATCCATAAAGATATCTGACATAGGTAAGAGGGCAGACACAAAAGAATGAAATAAGAATGAAATAATGAAACACAAGCAAGAAAAAAATCTAAGAATTACATCTTCAGATTACCTGAGACCAAAGAGATGGGCATATATCCAGCAGATAAGCAATTAACAGTCTTATCAACAGCTACATACAGTTGCTAAGTTTGTTTCTCATAATGTTTCTTCAACATACTTTCTCTACAGCAGCATTAAAATGAGGTTCCAGTTGCTAAAAATCAAGCTTCTTCCCTCACCACCAGCTTGCGCTTCAGCTTCAGATTCCTGTAGCTACTCAGTTAAAAACATAAACCAAAATACAGGTATGTACACACACATTTTCATCTTATTGAAATTGAATACTCTGTGTAATCTGAGCTTGTTTACATTTCTGTTCAACAAAACTACTCATGAGGGACTACTTTTCCCCATCATTTGCATTCGATTCCCACTTTGTATACTGACATGGTCTCTCTCCTTTTTCTTTTACACACAAACAGTTCCTACTTCTGTAGGAAAAAAAAAAAAAAAAAAAAAGTTGCAGGGAGCAATGCTACTATCTAAGTTTTATGAAACAACTTCCAAAACACTTCCTGTTGTTGACAAAAATTGGATTGTTGACAAGAACTGGAGCGTGAATTTTAATCTAAAAGCGTATGCTTCCTGGACATAATTTTGAATTGTGCCAAATAATACTGTGTTAAATAAAATGATATTAAGTATAAAAATAGAGTGACCTTGAATCCATACATTTGTTTCAAAATATAAAGCATAGAGAAAAAAGAAAACGGAGATTTCAGATGAATTTTCAAGTTTAAAAACATGACTTAGAAAATCCATATTACCAGTGGAAGTACATTCATTATATTTACAGATGTATTTTTAAATACCAAAAAGTGTAAATGATCGCAATAGATATGAATATTGCATCCTACAAATCTCTAACAACATTATAATACAAAATGACAACTAGCAGATTTCTGTAACTCACTTTAAAAAGAGATGAAAACCAAAATAAAGGGATAAAATATGAACATGGGAAGGACTGAATTGGCTTTAAACATTCATGTGTCATTCACAACAATCAACAGTTTATGCTTCTTTCAAATCAGCCCAAACTCTTTAATAAATATATTAAAATATATATATTATATATAGTATATAAAATATAATACATTTTATATATATATAAGGACAGGTGTTGGGATATTTAAACAGTGGATGGCTTTTATCTGTTAGAAACCCACCTCGAAAATTATAATGGACATTCAAACATCTCAGAGGAATCTTTCATGCCACAGGCAAAATAAGAGTGTCCACTATCTGTTCAGAAAAACAGTTTCTTTTGTCATCATAAAGACATTAAAAACTATGAGTTTCTAGTAGAAGAGCACTTGCATTAACTTGCTACAATCAGTTGGTTTTTCTGTGTTGTTTTTTTTTTTTTCCCCCTGGAGAACTTGAGATTCTAAAAAGCTATTTTTGAAAGCAACTGGAGAATTGCTCACTGTTGAGGCCTTTGTGAAAAACAGAGTAAACCCTCAGCAAATACTCTTTTGAGTCCCCAGAAAGCAGAGTCAGCTGTATATTCCTGCAGACCATGTCATCATTGGCACAGAGAACATTACCTTGATTGCAAGCCTTTTTAAAGTGATCCCTAACATTTATTCCCCTTGCGGCACTTCTGATCTCACTCTAAGATTTCTTTTATGTCAGGGACATAAGCATTCAGGTACAATTTATCTGTGATTTTGCTGTAGTTAAGTGTCTGGGATCAACTATCCTTTTCCTGACAATTAAAGAAATAGTGATATATTAATATCCATACCCAAGTCTAATTGTTATTACAGCAAAATAACTGGCAACTTTAAAGGTCTGCTCTACAAAACTGACTTGAACATTCAATCAAACACACACTGAATGGATAGCCTTAAGGAAAATGATTTTACTTCCTAGGTTTCACCCACAGGATTAAAAGTACTGATGAAAATTGATAAGAAAATACACCTGCAGAGTTAGACCTCTGGAGAAGCTCCCCATGATTTTCCCTCAGAAGTACTGCAGATTAAGAAAAAAGTGATAGAGCCAAGGGCTAAGTTTGGAAGTACATACACAGCAGGGAAGTCCTCCTTGTACATGTTGATGATCTCACTCTTGAAATAGAGGAGATGGAAATCAATGTAATCATCTTTTTTTTTTTTTTTTTTTGCTCAATCAACTACCAACGTGCTGAGTTACTCTGACAGAATAGCTCAACTTTTAATAACAATTTAGGGGAGAAAAGCAAAAAGTTCCTGTCCTGCTGAGAAATATAGAGGAAGGTCTATACATAGTTTCTCTTTTTTTTTTTTTTTTTCCCATTCCCTGAATACTGTTCTAAATTCCGTATAGAATTCCTCTCCCTTTGAGAGTTCAGATACATGATAAGAATCAGACTGAAGATGGTCACTTCCTTCCTCTTCTGCTGATGCAGGTAATTATCAGCTACTGTTTCTGTTCAGCTGTTTGCGTATCCATGATCCACTGTTTCACAGGCTATATGAAACAGTGCTTTAGATAAAAATAAATGAAAATTTTTATTTTTAGTTCCAAATACCATGTGGGCTTTTTTTGTCTTTTTTTTTTCCTCCCCCAGTATAGCACTATGGGGCATACTGTAGTCAAGCAGTTGAAATTGTAGGATGAGTAAGGATGAGTAGCTCCACAGAGCAGTTCTGTCACTGAAGAGACAAGTCATCTTTCAGTACCATAACTTGTAGATCTATGAACATAATTTCCCATATTCATGATAAGTTTGAGACTCAGAGCTCATTTCTCTCGTGTAAGTTTCAATAAACTCTGAAGAAAATGAGTACAAGTTGAGCCTTTGGACAAAAGTTTGCTTTATTTATGTGCCTAACATTAAGCTCCTTCATCAATAATTATATTTGACAATTGAAGTGAAGTTCAAAAGTGCTTAGCTAGTTCACGTTCATTTCCAGTGAGATCTACTGTCCACAAACTAGGACCACTTCTACAGTTCTATACATTTCCATTCAATTTAAATACAAGCTTTAAGCAGACTTGAATTCTTAAAACTATAAAATGCTTTTTATTTTCATTCATCGTTATTCTATTTACTGTCTTTCCCTTACAGCTATACTATCATTTTTCAGTTTTAACCAAGAAATATTCCAACATTATAGTGTTACTGACTATCCCATTAAGAACACTGACTATCAAAGAGATACAATCTGCATTCCTTTAATTGACATTTTGTTGCATTTTTTCATCTTGGTGCCAATGGATAAAATCTACTCATGTTTCGCCTGTGCCATCATAATCATCCTCCAAGAACAACTGGTTGTTTCTATTACTTTTTCCATCTTCCTACCTGGAGCAATTCCTATCAAATGCCATTTTAATTAATATTTCACATTCACTTCTAGCACCACGAAATACTAGGTAAAAGATAATTCAAATAAGCTAAAGAGGAACTGCAAGCATCTTCGCCATTTTCCCTATTGCTTTTGAACTGAGTATCCAAGCAAATGGAAGCCATAAACACAATTGGTCTTCACATAAGTCTTTCTTTTGAGCACTCACTTTGGTACACAGCTGGGGAAAGGCAAGATAGTTACCTATTTACCAATTCAAGAATGAAGCAGGTACTCCCACTGCTTGGCATTCAGTGCTTCACATAAAGAAATATGGCTAATATATTTCTTACTCTTTGCATACATGCTCAGGTTGTTCTCAGCACATAATTTGTTCTGTCTTTACTTGCCAGATTTCCCATTTCCAGAGGCAAGAGGAGTCTTACCCCAGCCAATGATATGCTGCAAAAATTTGCATTCTCCTATACACATAGACAATAACAATCAGCCTTAGTGGTCAAACTTCAAATTCAGAAGCATTTGTTCCAGAAATACAAGACGTACATGCAGCACAAGTATTGGATTCATCTATCACCATTTTACCCACCAGCCTTTGGGTATCAACACAGACATCACTAAGCCACTGCTTTGATGAGTTGGTATAAGAGCCTTACTAATAAGTAAAGACATAAACAAGCATATTTTCTGATTCTCCATTTCCAAATTCTATCAAAATAAAAATCAAACTAGTTTACAAAGACTTCTGCACTGAATTCCGAGTAGAAATTGCATTGAGAACTCACAGTAACTCATACCCCTACAGCTAGATAAACATTCAGCTTTCTTTCTAAATCTGAATGTGTTGCTGTAGAACTAGGAATGTCTTGGAGTTAATAAGACCACAATAATTGATCAACCATCATCACAGTATTATGCAAACTTTTCAGTTTTTCCAGTCTCTACACATGCAGTACAGCTATGGATAATTCCTTCAAAATTATAGTGTAAGGCAAAATATTGTTGATAATTTAGTGAACAGAAAGTGACAACTGAAGAAATGATGAATTTAAAATCAATACACTGATAACACATGGTGACTCTTCTAATGCTGTACTGTGATGCTCTGTATATCTGACTGACTCTTGAAAAAGCAACACAAGAATTTTCTTGACAGTAACTTTCTTTTATACTTATTTTTCCCTGTGACTACTACTTCACCAATCAAGATCTACCAGCATTTTATGGTAGACAACACAAAGCACAACATTACTTGAGGATTTGTCCCTTGAAGAAATACAAAAGAGTCATCTGAAAAAACAGTGCTACAGCTGAAAACAGAACTAAATCAGCAATCAATGCAACTTATCCCAGTAGTATTTATTATCTTTTTCAAAAGCTAGCACTGATGCCGAGACAAACAGTCCAGATAAAAACCTTTGTTAGCAAGGCACTTACCATATTTATTGATGATACAGGACCAATGCTGTTGACATAAATGTCAACATCAATAACTGTTGGTTTTACTGTGAAGGAAAAAAAAAAAAAAGGGATCATTTAATATTATTTTTATTTATCAGAAAACATTGTGCCAATCACAGTCACTTTAAACATAAGGTTTATTCTTCAGCTAAAATCAGGAACTACTGAGAAGTGAGGTTATGTATTTTTAATGAAGACAACATTCTTTTCCTCCTCCCCAATAAAAACTGCCACAAGTTACAGCTCACAGCATATTATCATCATGATCACAATCTACCTCAGTGGCAATCTGTTAAAGAAAATTTTAATTGCCAAACACAGAGGCTCAAACTCAAAATTCAAGATGCTGCACTATTTCTAGTTTCACATCAGTCATGCATCATCTTCCATCTCCTCAATATTCACATACTTTGGCATGCTTGTTCCACAACAGAAAATCTTTCTAGATTTTCTCATCTCATTAGCTCTGAATAAAATCCATTTCACTAAACCTCAGCAACTTTCCTCCCTTCAGTTTAGACTCTTTCCCGCCAGCTCACATAGCCTTTGCACTCATTCATCTAATGCTCTTTGAATTTCATTTGGTTTAATCAACTCATGTTTTTCACAAGGCATTCCATGTTTTCAGACTTCCAGAGTTTAATTCAAAGACAAAGGTCAGGACAAGCTCTCTTTACCTTAGGCCTTGAGAATTTAGATTCCCTTCCGCATCTTTAGTGTCAAAATACCAACAGAACAGTTGCTTTGTCTAAAGCTTATGAAGCCTTGGACACAAAGCTGAAGGCAGATGGGAATTCCACATATAAAAATGAGTAATTTTTGCCTCTATCCTCAAATTTCAGACTAATAATGAGATGCTGAGGAGTTTTAAGTATCCAGAAAGATCCATGATTCTGAAAAAAAAACATATATATGGGCAAGCTGGCCTGTCATTTAAGACTTGGGGATGTATTCCCCTCCTCGTGAAGACTACATCTAATGTTTTAAAAATAAATAAATTTAAATAAACTTAAAATGGGCACAAACAGTCATCACAGATGACAACCATTCTCTGTAATTCATGAAGCACAAGTCGTGGACTGCATGTTGACAGGATATTAGGGACCTGTTTTAAGGTCATGGTTTAAAATTGTCTGCAATACTGGCTTATAAACTCAGATCTTCCCTTCAGCAAAAGAAATCTGAACTCAGCTACTCAGCTGAACAAGCACAACTGATTAATGCAATTCTAATTGTACCCAGCTAATAACTAAATAGGAGTCTAGCAGCTTCTGGTAATGAGACTTGCCTCAAAATGCAGTAATAAATGTCATTACATAGGAACTGGTAATAGCAGGGAACTGTAGCTCGCTCTTTTACCAAGATAACACACACTGAATAAAAGGCTCTGATCTTGTTAGGACTTAGGAATACATCCAGATGGAAGTTCAACACCAAGAAGTCCTGACAAACACTAATGAGACTAGATGCAGTGATGCACACTTGCATGCAACTGGATCTTGGTAGGATCAGGGATAAAGGACCAGAACACAGTGCTTAGAGTCCATCTTTGTTCAATCACTAGAGTTAAATACATAAACAGATTATGAAATGATAATTTCTCCTGAACGTGCTGGGCCAAATTGTCCTAATGGTGGGAAAAAAAAAAGTATTCATTGATGCTAAAGAGAATTTTGGTCTTACGTATAGTAAAATCTAATCTCTAAGCAAAAGAAAACTAAACTGCAACCACTTCCTATCCCAAACAAAATCAGCATCTAGTCTCAAAAATGCCCAAAAAAACTCAAATTATATTCCCACAACAAGAAAAAAATTGCAAGTTTCTTTAAATTGTTTTGTTTTCCTAGTCAGTCAGAAAAATAAAATTGTAGTATAACTGCATGTTAAGTACATCTCCAGATTCTGAAACAGAAAGAAAAGTACAGTTCTTGTTGCACACAGTCTCTCATGGATATAAACAGATAGTTGAAGAACCATCAGGTGCAAGCATTACACTTAGATGGGATTTTAATTCAAAATACTAACAGTAATGAGGCAAAGATTTTAGGATTACTTCACTCAAAACATACTAAGAAAATAACTGAGTCTAAGAGTAATCATATTTATGCCTAGAAGGAACTCTTCCTGTACTAGCCTTCAAAAATAAACTGAATTGTATGGGAATAAAGAAATAATTACATGATCAATTATTTCAAGGCCTATTTTTCTATATTCTACATATAGTTTTGAACATTCAGTGCAGGGGCTGATTAAGCCCTGAGCTATGCAGAGTAGCAGAGCTGCAGATGGAGCCTTTTTTCTTTCACTGATTCAGTTCTCACAGTCTTGCTTGACAAACCACAGTGTTAATACCTCACCAAAAGCAACAGCAAGATTGCAGATGGATCCCTTGCTCTAGGACCATTTTGATATTGGCTTCAGTCCAGAATAGTTCTGGAGAACTGTCAGAAGCTCAGAAAAATTACTAATAGAGCCATATGTATATCACATGCTGGAGAGAATTAAAGGTTGTCAACAAATGCACTGACATTCTCAAAGTTCTCTGAATTGGTTTTTAATATATAGTAGTTAACTTTCCCTGAAAGACAATGAAAGTACTTACAAACAACTGCACTGTAAAGCTGCTAAACAGTGCTATTTAAGGTTAGCTAACTGCTCATCACAATCATTCCATTTTCAAACACACTGATTTTAACTGAGAAGGGGATTTTTCTAGCCAATCAAAATATCTGCAAACAAAACTAAGGTCTTGCCAATATTTAGCTAGTAGTCCCCATCTGATCCAAATGCCACGTCTTTGAGGCAGATGTGTTTATATTCCAGTCAGCCTTGTGACGATCACATTGCAGTGACATCCAAGTGAAATTTGTCTTCAAATGTCAAACAGTTCAAGAGATGCCTAGCCACAGGAGTGGTGAGCTCAGTGCTGTCTGCAAAGCTCACTTAAGTAGCCAGGTGAACACTTAGCCAGTTAGCCTAAAGCTAGGTCAAGCACGTCTGTGCAACTGTGAAATATAGCAACTAATAGGGCTCTATGTAGTCCTGACTTGGATGTATACATTTGAAGTCTGTCCAAATAACATTCATGCTCCTGCACAAATCATAAATATTTTGAATTATTTTTAAAAGTTTAATGCCTAATGTATTTTCATTGTAAGTTCATTTAAGTATGAAAAGGACTAGCTTAGGTAAGTATGAATAGGACTAGCATAAATTCTAAAATAAAGTTAAAATCAGCATTTGTTGGGAGTTAACCTTTCTTACATTGTTCAAGTAACTCTTAATTCTGAATTGTTCTGCTCTTACCAAAACACTGGTAGTAAAAAGGTTATGGATCAATATACACTTATTTCTTGAAGCAAAGCAATTTAAGGAACATGACCATCTAACAGATACAAGAACTTCTGAATGCAAAAAAATAACAAGATTGGCTCTACAATAATGAGATATTTCTTGAAAATACAGTGATATTTTACATTATTTCATTTGCACATAAACTGCTATTGTTATACTGGGATAAGCAGCAATAAATAATTACACAGTTATTGGTAACAGTGGTAGTAGTGATTACAGTGTTAATGCTTGCGTTGCATTAGTGATGATAACAATTAATATTTTCCTGCATGATATAACAGGTGACATCTAATTACTTGTTTGTTTCTGTAAGAGAAGTCATTTCTCATAAATAGTTGTGGTCAGCTAAAACTTCTGTGTTTTAAGAAAAACTACCACACTTCAAGAAAGATATAGTAATGGGAAAGTATCAATGAGGGGAAAAACAAAATAAAACAAAGAAAAATGGAAAAAAAAAAACCCACATTCTTTCTGCATAGAGAAAACAGAATTGAACAACAAATAGAACTCAAAGACCTTCACCTGTTACAGTCAGTGAAATTCTGTTACAACTGTAATCCCTATGATTTAAGATCTAAAGAGAAATGCAAATAAAAATCAAAAGGAATATTAAAAATTAGGTGTAGACTTCAAAGAATGCACGCATGAGTGCAATATCAGGATGGGAACAGTCTTTTGAGAAGTATTATATTCACATGTAAGGTGCCTTTCTGACCAGAAGTGTGAATGACAGCATACACTAGAAAGAATCTCTCCATCAGTAAGAAATAACTTTTATTCTTCATATCTTCGCATCACCATCTATCAATCACTACCTCTTTCATCTTCTACCTATCCTTCCCTAATACACAGCTTGTGATTCCTCTAGTATTGTGGTGTTTAGGAATCAAAACTGTAGATCTTAGATGATTAGGCTGGTTTTGCAATCAGTCCCTGAATCTTCCATTATGGTTTTATTTATATCCATAGGGAATAGTTCCTATGTGAAACCAGAAGACCACATAAGAATGAAATTTGTTCCTGCAAAATCTAGAAAGCAAGGTTTGGATAAACAACAGCAGTCACCGGAACAGTTGCAAAGGAGCAACAATGTTTTGAAATAATATAAGCAGAAATTTTTTCTTCTTTAAAGATGACAGAATAATTTATTGCTTTGTGCTACAACACTGAAGCAGGAACTACAGCCCTGTACATCTGCCAAATTTACAAATGCTTGCTTAGAAAGCCTCTTTGATAAGCAAAAATAAACAATCAGAAATCCATTTCAAACTGTACTTCTGCACCTGGAAGAGCCAGCAGATTACCTGTCAGAGTAATCACAGAAGTAAGGAGAGATTGAAAATGGACTTTCTCATCTAGCAATTCCCAGATTTTTCCTGATGCTTTCCTGAGACTTTATACCACTCTCCCAATCTCATCTCAGATTTCTTAGATGAATTTAAGAAAATTAGAACAAGCAGCTGCTATAAATACTTTTTGGTCTGACAGTTAGCTGAAGAATTTGGCAAACATTAACTATCAACCAAACTTTCCTACTCACAGTGCCTCTTAAGAAAAATACTCAGTATGAGTTTGTTAGTTTGCTTCAAACCATTTCAGTAAGTAATCTGCCAGAAAACCAGAACAACACTTTTCAATAACAAGCGTAAGTAAATAAATAAGAACACATTCCTTTTTCTTTTTAAGTAGA